AAAAGTTCACGTCCTACCACAGTTGATAGGTCTCGGTGACTGCATAGTTGGTCCACTTGGGGTTTGCATAGCTCAGCTGTGCTAGAGCGCTAGCATTGGGGTGTTCCACAGTTTTGAAGAGGTTCTTCACTGCTTCAGAGTTTTTCAGAAAAAAATTACAAAGTTCCGAAAAAGATGGAAGAGGCTTGGGTACCTTGACAAATCTGTGGAGCTAACAAATTCTATTTCTCATTCATTCCACTCTACGTTTTCAAGAAACTCTTGAAAGGCCTTATTCTGCAGAAGCGCCAGCTAGGATTGACCCAATCCATTTTGCTATTTGTATACTATTGTTTTTTCTACCGTTCGAGGTTGATAGGTGGAACATTTATTCGATCGGCCTAACGTTTCGACAAAATCGTCGTCTTCTGAGGCCTAAACGCGGTTCAAGGTTGAAATTCACGATCTAATCCACCAAGCGCCTTATCCTCTAGCGGTTCCGACTTTCCGTCGGGAGTCCCACCGAGAAACATAAGCAAAACGAATTTTGAACTCACCCAGGGTTCCACCGTTTGTGCGGGAATCCCGCTTCTGCACAAAAATGTTGGTCAGTTAGAAATAAGGCATACTAAATGTCTCCTGATTCAAGTAGTAAGTGGAGACGCATATACGCTATAGCTCGCAGTGCAGTATAAACAGCAAAAGAGCTTGTCATTGAAGGGCGCTCATCTCTGCTGTTCATCAGTGGATTTCTTGAAAAAACCCAGGATGCTTTCAATGCTTTTCCAGCAGTTTCCATCTTGTGAACCATCGCCGTGTACTTTATTTCGAATTTAACGCCACCAATGCGCTTCTCAACTTTATGCCTCCGGGTACCCCCCAAGAGGCCCGTCGCGCGACGAAGTCAGAGACGCAGGCGCGGCAGAGGACGAGTCGCACCGCATACTGTAGCGGTTAGGCGTCAAGTTCAATATAACGCATTACAGTACGTCCCACACCACGGCGTGGGCTCAAAAATGCGATATCTGATTAGTCACGCTGCTTATGCTTGTTTTCTTTGCACTAGCACATCACTCCAGACTCAGTTACCCCCGACTACTCCCCGCGAAAGTTATTGTTTGTCGTGCATGTTAAAATTTGAATCGCTTCTACTGTTTTTCAGCCAAGCTAACCAGATTTTTTTTGAATTTGCCTTTTCAGGAGTGAACTATTATATAGTTCGTATTTCTTCAAAGCTTCAGTTTTTTGAATTTGCCTTTTCAGCGAGAGAACTATCATATATATGAGTGCTTATCGAATGAGCCGGGGGGGGGGGGGGGAAATGAGTCGGGAGGGATACATACGAGATACGGGTAGTACAAGGAAAGCAAGCATAAGCGGCGTGACTAATCGTGAACAGATATCGCATTTTAGCCCACCGCCGTGGAGTGAATAGTGTGGGACGCACTGTAAGTGTGTTGCATTGAAGTTGACGCCTAACCGCTATAGTATGCGATGCGGCTCGTCCTCTGCCGCGCCTGCGCCTCTGACTCGCCGCGCGACGGGCCTCCTGGGGGGTACCCGGGAGACGTGCGTTTCTCCTCCTGAGGGTCAGGTCACCACAGTTGCGCGATCATTGAAGCTTAAGGTTAAGTTTGGTTTAGACTTAGGTTAAGGCTTATGCTTACACATTGGCTTATGCCTAAGCCTATGATTGGGCCTAGGCTTAGTCCTAAGCTTGAGCGAATGAACGGTCTCATTTTAGGTGACCTGACCCCAGGAGGAGAAACGCTATGCACTTGGGGACCCTTGCCTCATTGGGAGAGCTATTGAACGAGTATCACGTCGCATGCTATCAGATTTCTTTGATCCAAAATGCCAAAACCCTGCCGGTTTGCTTAAATATGAGTTACACTCACAACACAATAATTGCCGGTTTAATAAATTATTTACTACAGCCATAATCCCTTATTCCTTCTCTTTTCCCATCCATATTATTCTAAGGCTTGACCAGACAGAGTCAAGGTTTTTCAAACGGCGACACGTAAATGGCACATTCCATGCAAGCATAGCTTTTTCTGTCGGAGGTGATTCATTCAGTGGCCGTTCCGTGACTTTCAATATTGATGCTACACGCAGCGATGTTAAATAGGAGCATGGGCAGAGTATTTATTTATTTATTTATTTATTTATTTATTTATTTATTTATTTATTTATTTTATTTATTTATTTATTTATTTGTGCTTGAACACGCCATAATATTAAAATATCATGAAGTTAAAATTCCTACAAAACCTGTCAAAAATATAAGTAACAAAACCAGTGATAAACCAGCGACCTGAGGTTGAGTTCACTAGGCTGTCTGCGATTTACAAGAAGAGACGTATGAGCTTGCAAGCCAAGCGGTTCTCAGTACTTCAAGAACTGGTGGTGGAATGTAATGGGGATCTCTGCGCTAGTTTTAAAACGGTCTCAGGTTAAGGAAGGAATATGTTCAAAAGTGACGATCAACCATTCCATCACACGAGAAGAGGATTTTGTAGATACTGAACACGCCATACCCAGACTTGAACAACAACACAGACCTGCATCAGTCGGCTATGATGCCCACTCGCCACTAGGGGTCATAGGAGCTTACCGAAACTCCGAAACACGGGTATACCGACCACCCTCGTGGAATCGGCAAGCTAGGTAAGTGTTATGCGCAACGCTGAGCCGACCTGAGCAGTATACTACCCCCTCCTCTCGTGCTTGATGGTGGGACATCGTTCTTCGATTATGTAGCGGAGGAACCATGAATAAGAAGCATCAAAGTACAGAAAGAAGAGTAGCCGATATAGAGAACGTTTCCGGAGCGACGTGATGATATACTAGTATTTTGACGATGTAAGAAGAATTGGGAAATGCACGTTTACTGGGTATTGTTGGAATAAAAACGGATCTCTCCAATGTTCTTCATTGATTATGTTGAAACTGAGAACGTGCTGTTCATCTCATTCAGTCCTTGAGTTGGGGTTCCTTCGGTCTTTCATTTTCGTTCTCATGAATTCGTTAGCTCAATAGACCAACTAGTGGAAAAAGGATATGAAATAAGGGGAGTGCAGGATATTCTCTCACTCCATGTGTAGCTATTCCAAAGTCTAATTGGGCAATGTGTTTGTTGGAAGTTTCATTCAGAGAAGTGTTTGTTAGAGTACCCTTGCAGTACTCTGACGAGTGCTATTTGATGTCTCATTTGTGAAAGGTCGGGAGGTGGGCGCGGGGGAGGGGGGGGGGGAACCTTGAGCATTATGGAAAAAAGCAAATTGGTGCAATGTTGCCGGGTTGTCATGGTGTCATAGCGCTGGCAGTTTAGAGGACACGGAATGAGAGGGGGGGGTGAATTCTTTTCCATCCACCGTGCCCGCCTCCAGTGAGGTAAAGGATCATGACTCAGCATAAGCAGTAACTAGCAACAACCCATACCGAAGCAATAACCCCAAATCAGTGAGGTAACAGCAGTAGACAATGAATTTTGAATGCCGAACTGACTGAGAATGAAAAAAAGAACCAAAGGAAACTGCCGAAAAAGCCATTGACAAGCACTCCCTCACTTCCTCTGTGAAATGAGGTATGGGTGGTATCCCGGACGAAGTTGGTACTAAAGTTGCCGTTGCTCAGGCTCCACTTACCGCGCTTATCTTGAAAGTAGTAGCCGCAACCGTCGCAATCATGTTTGCGATCACGCGGCTCCGGCTGCGAGAGCTCTATCTCGTCCATTTAAGTTCACATCAGTAGTCTATCAGATCACGGTTGTATGGACCCCTTAAAAAGCCGCCGTTATACGCAATATCGAGCCAACAACGGCCCATTTGTGATGTTCATGGGCTTCTATATCCCACCATAGAATGGATACTTCGACATGACCTCATATGGGGTTGCTGCTTTGAATTTGTTTCTATTTATGTACTTTTTATTTACTTATTTATTTATTCGTGAATAATTCGCACTGTTGCTTGCTGCAAACGCAGTGCTGCTTAATAAAGTGCATTTCTCAAATTTCTGGTGACATTTTTCAGAATTCTATGAACTTTCTTCAATAGCGTTTCTGCTTGAAAAGCATTTCAAGCGGAACGCTGAAGAAAAGGTCAACAGAAAAATAGTAGATGAAGGAATGACCTTTTCTTTTCAAATTATGCAAAGAAAGCCTTGCAGATTTTCTCTTGAGCTATTACCAGCGTTTTAATAATAAATATAATTAGTTCATAATAGAACAATGACTGGTCCATGGGCGTAATGTATCGCCAATGAACCAGTCACGAAGAGTAGGCAATGGTTTTTTCATTGGTATGGCGCTTGAACCCTTGTTCCTCCATTCACAGATGTCTGTATTGAAGAACCACTGAGGAAGTCGACCATGAAGCTTTTTTAATAGTGTGTGGTCGGCTATGAACTTCGAGTAAGGGTCCAGAAAAGAACAAAAGTGATCATGTTTTGAAGTGGTGGTTTTAAATGAATGATTTCAGCAACGCATGGTCGATAAATGTCTGGCTGAAGAGAACGATGAGCAAGAGCCATCGTGCAGTGATGATACGTGCTGTGTGTGTATGTCCAGAGTCGCTACCGTACACGCCTATCCATGCGGACACAAGATCAGCTGTAGACTCTGCGCCACGATGATGCTCAAGGTGAGGATGGTTTCCTTCTAGGCGATCCTGTAAGTATTATGTCGAATACTTACCCTGTAAAACTTCACAACTCTACCTCTCACTTTTATGGGAGGGGAAGGTTCCTACTCTGTACATTCGCCTCCCCCCTTGTTGTTAGGAAGTCGCCATTTTCATTAGTCGTACTCCCTGATCATTTGGTCTGCTACTTCTGGTTTGGGAAAAAAAGAAAAGTTTTCTTGATGTCGGGTAAAGTGTTGTACGTGATTTCACTGTTCTACAAGTGTGACGATTAATTGCCACCTCCTAAAAAAGTGGTTTCCATGAAACGGTGACTGGAAAAGCACTTTGATCGGGAATCAAAATAAACAGCCATTAGAGAACTAAGCGATGGAGCGTCCTCAGCATATTCCTCTGCTGCCGTACAGAATTCTAGTTGCAGAAATGGAGAAGAAATATTCAGCAAGGTTTCGAAAGCACATCTACCAGGGGCGAGGTGACCTATCAAACGAAGCGCTGCATAGGATGCCTCCCTTCACTAGCTTGATGGAGTTGTGTCGTTTATTACTATGGACTAGACGGTTGCCACTGACCCTTTCCACTTTGTCCCTTTTCAATGGGGGTGTGTTGCAGTTCTACTCCTGCAGCGCCAGCGTCACCCGATATGCAGACAATCGCTGTTTGCTTTCATTGTCATCACTCGAAGCTTTATGGCGCTAGGCCAAATCATAACCTCAAGCATAAACCAATATAAGCATCAGCCCAAGCCTAAGCCTAAGTTCAAACCCAAGCTTAACCTCATACTTCAATGATGGCACAACTCTGGTGACCTGACCTCAGGAGAACTGACCGTCTCCCTTGGGAAGATAGCTCCGATTTCAACTGTGAAGCTCTAATCAGCTCACTGTGATCAGATTTCCTAATTTGCTGAAGACGGACATGACTATCTGTAAGTTGCCCCACAAGCTTTTCAATCTGCCTCAAGATTGGGTTTCCTTCTGAAGGCTGTTCATGTCAATGAGCTTGATCAGATAGTCTTCAATTAGGCTATTGCTAGAGAGGTGTCGATTGTCCAGATCTATAGGAAATCAAGCCTGAGCAATAATGTCGGATGTCTTTCATTATTGTTGCTCATGCCTTAACGGCATCGTCCCCACAGCAATCGATCCGGTTACAAGTCGCACTTATTTGATGGCAAGCAGCATTGGTGCTACAGTATACTACAGTATTACTTCTTCACAGCACCCGTTAGTCACGACTAAGTTTACATAACGACTGTAAACAAAGTGTTTCTCCAGTGGAGAATCCAGTTTTCGCTGAGGTAGGAAATCGTTCATTGGGTCGGCAGTTCATTACGGATACAACCTTCGTAAGAAGAAGTAACTTCTCCATACAAAATGTTTATGGAACCAATCGTCATTTCCAGAGGGTTCATTGGTGTAATTGTATCCTTGAACTGTGAACGATTCCTTTTTTTCTGTATGGAACAACTAAGTGTTCTATTTGCGGTAATGAGTCATAATCAACTGACTATGGTCCTGTCCGCATCATTTTTCTCGAAATTTTTGCTACAGTTCTGAAAAGTAAGTTATAAAGGGATTGATTCAAAGCCACAAAATGAGCAGGATGCAAGGACAGACAAGCTTGGATCAAGAAAAACGCGAGGCTTTCCTGTTCAGAAGCTGCACGAAGCCTAATTGAAGCTTTCGTCACTGAAGACCCGCTGTATCACGGATTTTTCCGGGTTTCACCATGAAATGGGGGATCTTTGTCGAAGCACTTTCTCGATTTCCAAAATCATCATAGAGTTTCGACGTTGGTCAATCCTTTTTGGGGTGCGCCACGTGTATGGCTTATTCTCAGAATCGTGTGGCGTTCGAAGAAGTGTGGTTTATACACAATGATTTGTGAGGGCCAGCTTATGTACTTGTTAGTACTCTTGCATTCCATACAAGTCTTATTCCTATCAAAGGAACCGCATGGATGGTTTGGCTTAACCTGGAGTGAATTAGACCCGTAATCTGACCCAAACCATGCATACGTTATGCTGCACCAGTTGCCTCCACGTCATCCCTTTTCTCCATATTTTTATAAAATTCTTACATGACTTATTTAATGCGCTTTCAGACGTCTGCGAAGGCCCAAGAGAAACATTTCCGTTGTATTATGTGTCGATCGAATGTCTACAGGCTACGATATGTTCGACAAGATCCCGGTAGTAATTTTATGCAAGGTAAATTTTGAATGACT